AGGGGCGGAGCGGGCGGAAGGAGGCGGAGCGGGCGGAAGGGGGCGGAGCGGGTGGAAGGGGCGGAGCGCTGGAAGGGGGCGGAGCGGGTGGAAGGGGCGGAGCGGGCAGAAGGGGGCGGAGCGGGCAGGAGGCGGAGCTGTGGAAGGGGCGGAGCGGGCGGAAGGGGCGGAGCGGGCTGAAGGAGGCGGAGCGGGCAGGGGCCGGCCCAGAGACCACAGGAAGGCCGCAGAGGACACGCTCACTCCTCACTCCCTCACCCGAGGACCCCGGGCGGTCTCACAGAGGCAGACAAAGGACCTGCTCTGAGTCGCTCACAGCCCTGGGCCCAGGGAGGTGCTTTCCTGGTGGGTGGGGAGGGTCTGAGCAGGGAACAGGATTGACCTGTGGTTTCTGGGGTCACCGGAAGGGAGAAGAGGTGAATGCCCCCCAGGGTGAACGCCTCCTCCAAGAGGAAGCTCCCGGGAGCAAGCCAGGCCCTGACACGGAGCGTGTGGGTGAGACCAGGGTGTGAGACCCCGAACACGCAAGGTGCTGCAGAGCCTGGGGGCCCCCCTCACGGGCACCACACGGGACCCCAGATGTGCACACACGCGCACACGTGGACCTGAGGAGGCTCCCTGTGTGAGCGCGCGGGGAGGGGCTGCTGGCTGAGAATATCTCAATCATTATGGGGCTCCCTCGCTCTGCCAATCGATGAAGCAATTAGATTTTATCAACCACCTCTCGGCCGTCTGCAAAAGCCACCCCCACCTGGCCCCACAAAGGCCTTCCCAGGCCCACAAAGACACGGATGGGGGACACAGATGACACGGATGGGGGTGCCGAGTTCCAGGGAGGCCTCCCCTGCCGCAGCTTCCCAAGAGCTGCAAGCCCTGCTGGGAATACCCCTGCCTGGGGCCACAGGACTTCAGGAGCGCCCCGCTCCTTTCACAGCCCACCCGGGGCTGAAGCTCGGCTGTGTCCCTCTCTACAGCAGTGGCCTCTGAGGGGGGCCTGGGTCCCCAAACTGCTCCCTCCCTCTGAGGTCCTGTGTCAGGACCCCCGTCCCCCTAAAACAACTGTGACCAGGCAGTAGCACCTCCCTCGGGTGCAGACTTCCCTCCTGGAACCCTAGGAGGCGGGACCAGGGACCCCTTCCCTTCCCTCCCAGAACCCTAGAAGGCGGGACTGGAGACCCCTTCCTTTTGGGGACCCCTTCCCTCCCGGAACCCCAGGAAGCAGGACCAGTCCGGCCTGCACTGCGCAGTCCCCAGTGGGGGTGAGCACGTTCCACCCTGTAAGCCAAGCCACTGCGGGGGGTGCATTTCTGAACCTCTAAGGCCATGCCTGCGTCTGCCCTGTGAAGAGGGGGTGGCAGGCCCCTGCTGCGGCGGCAGCCACAGTGGAGCCGCCGCCTCGGCCTCCTGTCTGCCCGGCTGGCTGGGATTAACACAATTACCATCACATGCAGCCCCGGGGGACAGGCTGCTCCTCCCGCCTCTCTGGCTCCCTGCCAAGGCTGGCCAGCAGCCGCTACCGTCCTCTGGCCCCACAGCCCCGACCCCTCCCTCAGGCCTCCTGGGCTCCTCACCTGTGGGTCCCAGGCCAATCTCCAGGCTGCCTCTCTGGAATTCACAGCGGCTCTGATGCTCAGGCATAACGAGGCGGCGGCTGCGGTGGACGCTGGAGCAGAACAAGACCGGAGAGGCTGACCCCTGGGCAGCGGCAAGAGGCTGGAGCCCAGCCTGGGCACGGGGAGTGAGCCTGGGGACGCCCTCTGAGCGCTGCACTGCTGTGCCCACGCCTCTGCATGCAGCCCATGACGCCACCGTGTGCACACCCACGGAGCAAGCCAAAGCGACATAGAACCCGGCCCCAGGACCCCACTGCTGCTCTGGGGAGGGTCTGTGTGGCACACCCAGCTGGCTCTGCCTTCACCCCTCCTGAGGGGCTCTCACTGTTATCTTACTCCCTGTCCAGGGCCAGGCTGCTCCTTTGGGACAGGGCCCCGGAGAGCACCACCTGCCTGCTGACAGCCCCTCAGGGTCATCTTGATGAGAACTTGCAGCCATCCCCTGCCCTCAATTTCTGTGCACAAGGAAACTGAGGCTCAGACCACAGTCCTGCGGCTGAGATGCGCGTGCGTGCAGGCAGGCACGCACACACACACACAAGCACGCACACGCACAGAGCACCCACATGGCAGGCACCAGAGCCGACAGCCCGCTGTCCCCTAGGCAGGTGTGGGCTTGGAATCAGCATGCATTTAACTCTTTTGTTCCCTGTTTCTCCTCTTCTTGCTAATTCAGCCGCATCCCACATCCACTGGGGTCCCAGAGAGCAATGGGAGGAACTGTGTGGAGTACTGCCTTCCACCCCTTCCTGGTTCTGTGAGCCTCCCCCCAGGTCAGCAGAGAAGGGGCTCTGGGACCACGAGACACCCCCTCAGCAGCACCCCTGCAGTGTGGTCCTTGCCCACCTGTAATGGGGCAGCCTCCTGGCTGCACTGACGCTGGCGGGGCCTCTGCGCTGTGACCTGGGAGCCAACCCTAAACCTGGTTAAATAGTCCCCGGCCCCCCTGACCTGGGCTGGCTGGAGCTGGGCTAATCCAGGGCTGCCCCTAAGCAGATCAGTTTCAGCACCAAAGACTCCCAGGCTGGGCTCTAAAGCTTTCCAGAGACCCAGATGCCGGCCTCTCCCCACCCCCACCGGCTCCCAGTGGGAAAGGAAGCCCCCCAGGCACACAGGAGGGCAGGTGGGTGGGAGTAAGTACTTTATGGGATTAATCGGCAGCGAGCCTCATCCCCTCCATGATCCTAATCAATGCCGGGGTGTCAAGAGAGAACTGCTGGCCTCAGCATGGGGTGGGGGCCAAGGGCCGTCCCAACAGCCACAGCTGCCACGGGGTTCTCCCCAGGGGTCCATACTTTGGTGTACCCGGGACAGACGCCTGCAGGAGGAGAACTGGCTCCCCAGAGACACTGGAGGGTGGGGGCTGGCCCGTGAGCCCCGAGCCTGGTGCCCAGAAGTAAAGTGAGGGGGGGCCTGACAGCTGCTTGGAGGGGCTGTGGCCTGGCAGTGGTACCTGGTGGGAAACTGGAGGCCCCCTGCCCTCCCCAGCCCTGGTCTCTGCCTCGGAGTTTGCTCCTGAAGTTCCAACAAAGCCTGGCCTGGCCCAGCCCCTGAAACCCTGTTTCGGCCACTTGGCCACTCACTGAGCAGATTATGCCAGTTTTATGTAAAGAAATGTGAAGAAACCCTAGACATCCCACAGTGCAGACACAGGAACTCTGCCCAGGGGACACCAGTGCACGGTCCTCAAACAGAACACACTCTGCTACCTGCTGCGTACAAGGGACGAAAGGCCGAGGGTCTGGAGTGGGCCGGGGCGCAGATCAGGAGGTGGGGGAGCCAGGAGGGGCAGTCAGAGCCAGGGCAGGAGGCGCAGGAAGGAGAGGGTGTGGGGAGTGCTGCAGCCTGTCAGGTGTGACCCTGCTCCCTACGAAGGGGCTTCCCACGCTGCCCTCAGTGACGACCACACAGTCCGGCACTTGCCCATTTTCCCAGCAGCCCAGGGGCTCTGGAGAGAGAGGCCATGGCCCCGCCTGCAAACACTGGCTCCAGGGAGCATCTGCCACTCCAGGTTCTTTAGCTCAAGGGGACGGCCTGGGGCTCTGCTGGCTCCAAAAGGCAGGTGGTGACTGCAGAGCCAGCCAGACAGGAGGGCAGGGATGGAAGGACCGACAGACAGATGGGTGGAGACCAGCGGATGGGAGCAAGCGAACACAGATGGTGGTGGCCCAGCGTGTGTTCTGTGGGAGCCCGCAGAGGCAGAGGCAGAAGGACCCAAGGACAGGCCGGAAGAAATGCAGACAGCCTGGGGCCAGTGTGGCTGCTGGGCTCCAGAACCACCACCCACTCTGACCAGACGCCACAGTGAGGTCGACAGGCTCTAGTCTACCCCGGCGTGCTGTGCCCTCCTCCTTCGGGGACTCCAGCACGCCCTCCCTGCTGGCTAACATCTCCCCCTTGGGAGATTCAGAACCTCATTCTAGCCCCAGCCCTGGCCTCCTCCCAGGGCACCCCAGCTGCCAGCTGTCAGTGCTGGTGAGGGACCCCACATTCCCGAGGCCAGGTGGATGGAGAAGGGGGCTGCAGGCAGGGGGAGCCATTCCTGGAAGGAGGGGCGTGAACCGTGGCCGGGTTTCCCTCGAGCCTCACTGACAAATTTATCAGGTAGTGTCCCAAGTAAAAGGCTCATAAAATGCCATCAATGTTCATGACAGTTCATAAAAATGATCAGTTGAGCTGGCAACCCCAAAATGCAGTGGAAATAAGTTTAAAGATGTTTTTATTGTAATTCAGCTCTGAGATCCAGACATTCTCAGAGACATAAATAATAACACATCTGGCTCGGAGCCAGGACACGCTCCCCTGGGACCCTCATGG